TCATAACCAGTTGGATGGGCAGGTTGCAGCAGCGACAGGTAAGTAGTGGAAGGGAGAACTGGAAGTGAATTAATTCTGACGACAGAGGAGGAACTGGCTCTAGATGTGCCAGTTCCTCCAACAGCCAATCAAATACTAGATTATGATCGGTCACGACATCCTGTGATGTTCCATGACGAGTCTGCGCTGTCTTCTACTCTGAGGAAAAGCCTCTAGAAGGCACAAAAACCTCCTACACAGCTAGCAGACACTGCTACCTGACTGACAGGGCAGTGGGGATGTTCTCTAGAAGAACAGGGTGTTCTGACTGTTTTCATCGTCGCTGTCACTCGCGTCGACTTCTTGTTGCTCCATGATGTACCCTGCTAGCTTGTTGAGCTGCCTATCGGCCATGTGAATGCAGCCCTTGATGCTGCATGCCACCAACTCAGCGAATGCTTGCGTCAACCGTACATGCACGTCCTTGAACTTGGTATCTTGTGTGTACTGGTGTCCAACCTACTATGTATTTGTAAAGCATTGCATTGTATATATCACTGTCCTTGGCCTTTTACGATAGCCCACACCATCTCGATAGGTTGAAGGTCACTGTGGTAAGGTGGTGTGTAAACCACTTCATGCCCTGCGGCACTAGAGGGGGGAATTGCTCAGGTGGTAGAGCATCGGTTTCTTAACTCAAAGGTCGTGGGTTCGATCCCCGGATTCCCCGGATTCTCCCTCCCCTGGGGAATCCGGATAACAAGGGCGGCGTACGAAGACGAGGACCGAACTTCGAAGAAGATCGGTCGAAGCATGAGGTATGAAGCGTTGAGCGAAGTAAAAAAACGAAGAATACACACCGCCCCTGGTCGAGCAGGCGCGTTACAATTGGCGAAGCGGTTCCATAACATGTGGTTCTAGTGTCGGCCCTCGGGGAGGAATGTTTTAAAATGACAATCCAAACTCAATTAACCTGCGGCACGCGCCAGCGTTACAACCTCGATGTCAATCTTATCGACATGCACACTAAGATTTTTCCATAGTGCAACTTTTGTATCATTTGTAAAAGAAATGCCGTACTTAGTGAAATCATTCTGTAGGACACTCTTCTTTTGTCCATACTTACTACTGTTAGGTCGATGTCGCTCGCTGGGTGGGTTTCCGTGGGCATGCTTGGTGTGTGATGCTAGTGTCGAGAATCAGAGCCAGTGGGTTTTTGCATGTGTAATGCTTGAAGTTTTTATTGGGTTTTTGCCTGTCCTTTTCAGCAATTGTATAGTGTGACAAAGTGTATTTGATATGAGGGTGAAATTTGACAGGTTTTCAATATTTGAACAATGATATCTTAGGGTGTATGCTGTTTCAAGATAACATTGTTTTGTACGGTTTTAGCGTCTACGGAGTGCTACATTTTTCGTATTCACCTTTTCTTGATTGTGTTTTCGCAGGAAAAGTTATGGCCAAAGACACCCTCGAGACTGTCGACCACTGTGAATCTAACCTTGTCCTATGACGGGTACCTTGACCGCTCGGCTACAGTAACTGTAATTTAGAGTAAACGCCAAGTAAACATCAAGGCGAAGCTGAAATGATTTCATGGCGAACTTTTCAACTCGGTGCGGGTGAATTTTTAATGAAAACTCTGCCAATAATATCATATGAGTAGGCGAACTGTTAAAATGGGCGCGGGTGTATTTTTAATGAAAAACTCAGCCGATCCTGTCGAATGAGTTCAGTAGTAATAATTCTTGTAAAGTAGTGGCACTCTGGATCCGTAGGGACTGTGAATAAGGATTAACGTTATCCTCCAGATTTTATCGACAAAGACTTAGGGCCCGTCGGGTAACTTTTCAAAAATAATATCCGATTTTTTGGCAAAATGGGACAAACCAAAAATGCCATTTTCATATGGCGTTCTTCAACGAGTAAATCCCACGTGGAATTACTGTATTGGATTTGGGTTTAAACTCGTCAAGCAAGCCAAGCTTCAATTTTGATCAGATTTGTTGAATTCGGCCCCAAAATGACTTTTGGGCATGAATGTTGGTGGAATATTGCAATATTTCCGGTGGCCAGACGCACCTTTATTATATATGTCAGATTTGGTAGCCAAACGCCTTTCTCAACGCCGCAACAAGCTTCATTTCGACAAACATGGCGATAGTTCTCCGTGACGCCACCGAAGCCGACGTTCCATTGATCTATGACTTCATCCATGAACTGGCGACGTACGAAAAGCTAGCGCATGCGCATGTGGGCACTCACGAGGACCTCCGCGACACTCTGTTTCGACACAAGTATGCGCACGTCGTCCTTGCGTCCGTGGACGGCGCCGAAGTGGGCTTTGCCTTGTTCTACTTTAACTATTCCGCGTTCCTCAGCAAGGTACTGACTTATCTCCCATATGGGTACATGCGATTGAGCGTAGATGTAGCCTGGTCTGTACCTCGAAGACCTGTACGTGCGACCCAGCGTCCGCGGACAAGGCGTCGGCACCACCCTGATGAAGCACCTGGCGGCGCTGGCTTTGGCAAAGGGATGTCGCCATATGAATTGGAGTGCCATCGACTGGAATACCCCCGCGATCAACTTCTACGTGGGTAAGACGGTTGGCGCCACCCTCATGAACGAGTGGAAGATGTTCCGGCTGCAAGATGACAGTTTAACGCGATTTGCCGCCACGACCACGACTGAATAGTGCCATCAAAATGCCAGAAACGAGCGGCCAGGACGACATATATGTACCTCTACACTATCTGCGCGATGCATCGTTATCCGAAAGCTATAATCCACTGAACTCTGTTAATGTGCTTTTCAGTCAAATTTGCCTATTTTGGGGGATTGATGAAATAGCCATCTAATCGAGCAAAGGAATATGATTGGCTACAACGAATATAGGTTGCAATTTGATTGGCTAATAAGATTGATTGAAGAATTGTCGTCACAAAGATACCTCTTCAACTTAGTTTTATATGAAATTTCGAAGGTCCGGCGATTGATTCAACCAACCGCCGGAAGGAATTTATGAGTAGAATACACAATAATTGACTCGACTTACGTGTTAACAGTAAACCCCTAAACTACGCTTGTAACAAGTACTTTCGATAGTTTTTAACATCATTATTATTTATGCAGCTTAGAATTCACTCGAAAAAGTGTTTACTACTCATAACAAGTACACATCACTGTAAATAAAACGTGCCCCCCTACTTGACGCACACTCGTCGTCGCATGGCGGCACGAGCGACGGCAGCACACGCATGGGACCGGGGCTTGACGAAGCCGCATGCACAACACACGCAGTGCACCAGCTCATCGCCATGTTCCTTTAGATAGGCAACGACTTCCACATGGCCGTTGGCGGCGGCGAGTGCTTCGGCCGCCTCCGAGCACCCGTCCTTGCGATGTCGATGCAGGAATCGCATTACATCCACGTGGCCATTGCAAGCCGCGACATCCATTGCTTGCTTTGTCCATCCCGCGCGAGGCTTGATCGCGTAAATGTAACCGAGGACGTCCACATGTCCATTAGCTGCGGCGCTTGAGATTGCGTCGGACCACCGCCAAGCCATTCGAGTTCGATGTTCGACAAGCCACTGTATGACCGGTACGTGTCCGTGAGTGGAAGCCAAGGTCATGGCAGCGGAAGTGCATCCTTCCTGTCGATGGACATGCAAGAAGTCCAGGATGTCCAAATGACCTCGACTGGCGGCTTGATCCATGGCGAGGGTCGTACATCCTTCATGTCGATTGAAGTGGAGGAATCGAACCACCGACAAATGACCGTTGGACGCCGCCACATCCATGAGGTGTGGCATGTGCAGTTGAGGACTTTTTGAGGGTAGCTGTCGATGCAGAAATTCCACAATGTTCAAATGTCCACGTGATACCGCCGTGAACATCGCCGCCATGATGGCATCGTCATCGAGCGTGTACGGAACCAATGCAACCGCCATCGTCAGTTGACCCATGTAGGCCGCCACATCCATCAAATTCTCCGCCGACTCGACAAGGCTACTTAAACACACCTGGAGGAGATTGACTTGGCCGGTTGCAACGGCATGGATCAACAGGAGTCGACCCACACGGGGGCACCATGTCAATAGTTTTGGCAGTTGATGTTGTCCATGGAGGGTTAGCCACTGGTGGATGAGCGAGGTGATGGCAGGAACTTCCGACATGGGGATCGATGAGGTCGGCTGATGATACGTTGCGAGGGGAAGTACTTGCTGTGGAACCCCTTGTTGAAATCGCGAGATGCGAAGCATGAGGTCATCCGACAGCAACACACCATGGAAGGTTGTCGGCATGATGGAGAGAGCTACTACGTAGGTTGATGCCGCCTGGGGAGGTGATGGCAGATTGCAAACTGATTGTTCATTGACACTCACGCTTTAATATGCTTCCATCAAAAAAAGGAGAACACTGAAACTGCCAAAGGAGTAGCATCAACAGGACGACACACTGAATTAATTCCCTTATTTCTTCGAGCAACCGTTGCATAACTGCTAGAAACCTCTGTACATCCTACGTAATAAAGGGGTAATCGTATTGGGATTTCATGCATATTACATCGTTCCTGAGAACTGGGATTAACAGTCAGGACACGCCCTTCCCACGTCTGGTTGCTGTCATTTCCTACATTGTTGTCTTGTGACGGTGTTCGTCTTCCAGTTGGAGAAGGTGGTCATCAAAATGGTACTTGCCGGGGGGAATTTTTAACTTTTTTAACTTTACAGAAGTTTCGCAACAACCCGTTACGTAAAATGCCATGTTCCAAAATTTGAAACCGAATGTGATGCTGGCAAGCTTCGCTGCACGTACGTACGTACGCATATTGGTTTGCTTCCCAACCAACATGGCTCATGTGTAGGCGCTGCTAATAGTTCCTCTTCGTGCGATAAAGGAGAAGGATATGTATGATGGCGTGTACAGTTTCCAGAGCTCCAAAGATTTAGGTTTCCGACGATCGATAGTCGTATACTACTTCATAGAACTGTTGAACGGTTGACACGGCTGCTACACCTTGTGCTGCATAGATGCACTGCAATGGACGAGACAGTCTCGACATCGTAAACTAGAGATCTCACTTCTACTAGCGAGCTAATATACAACTATTGGTTTAAGTTGGGTTTCATGTAATACTTACTCCAAAAGTGACTCGTGTTACTGAACACTCCACCACACTTTTGTGAAATAAGATCGCCTCGTGTATTATTGCTATCACCCAATTGCGTTTTTACGCACTCGATGTTTTAACGTTCGGTTGAACCCTATAAAGTCTTTCACGTAAACGGCTAAACCGATTCATTCGTCCATTGAGTTAAACCGAAACAAAACACCTTCGAGTAAAACGTACTTTATTTCTCGTCCCGTAATGAAACCCACCAGTGCAGCGCGAGGAGATTGACGTCGGCAGGCCACGTCCATGGTGCTACCGATGGTTGTCCTGACATGCACCAGGAGGCGGCGATGCACGGACCTCCGTACCCGATTGACATGACCTCCACCCTCGGGACCTACCTCAAGTTACGTATGTACGACCCGCTCTCCCCAGAGACCGTGCGAGTTGAACCACATGAACGATCGGGGGGGCGTTGTCCGACTCTCAATCATATCTTTGGCCTTCTAATGCCCCATGGACCCTTGCTACCTCAACTTACATCCACACGAGATCCATCACAGTAGTCATGATCGATCGATCGATTGATTCCCCGGTGCTTATTCTCAACTTCTACCCTTCCCGACCATCATAACATCACGAGTCCTTGTCATATACTAGTCGTTATCCCATGTACACGTCCGTGGTGCGCGCAATCGCTTGACTCAGCTTGCTTTCCAACCGCGCCATCTCGTCTGGCCGTGGTTGCGAAATCTATAGCCGCATGAGCGTCCATCCATTCCCTTTCTCCACGAAGCCATTCGACATACCTCAGAAGGCACGTCATATACATGCGTGTCGCCGGCAGAGTCGCCGACGAGCAAGCGTTTGCCGTCGGCAGTCCACCGCACCTTGTTCAACGCGCGTTCCGTGCTCACTTGGACTTCGGCCACGGGCACCTACAGTCTCTTGCTAAGCCAAGACGGCAGCAACACAAGCAACTGACCTCGGAATCGTTGCTTATGTTCCACACACTGGCCTTGCCCGATCCGTCCGCCGTGCAAAACAGCCCAGGGTGCACTGGCGACCACCGGATGTCGTACACGTAGTCGTTTGCGGGCTCAAACGACATGATGGGTTTGTCCCCGCCCTACACGACATCAAGATATAATACAAGATTTATATATATATAATATATATTGTCGATATTTTCTCTTCAGATTTCCCATTTGATCATCATGGTTCGTCCAACCGAGCAAGTACAAATCGCGCCGAGACATGTGATTGGGTAATATCCACATCGCCCTTTAGTAGTAGAGAATCGAAAATGAATTGTAGCCAATCAGCAACAAGTAATTTTAGATTGACCAATGGGAGAGATTGGCGCTCGGTTTCGAATCTCCCATATATATATATATATTCAGAAGTGCAAAAGTACAAACACAATCATACAAGGACACCATAGAGTAAAACATTTCAATTGACGAGTTATGTATATACGTTGCGGGCACAAGATACAAGGAAGCAGCATCCATATATATTATATACATGGATGTGCTTCCTTGTATATATATATATATATATATATATACATGTAAGGAAACCCAATGATATGTGACTTGATGGAATGCTGACAATCAATATACTACGCGTTCTATTGAATGAAAAACCAGACAGATACACATAAATATTAGCTCCCACGACAGTAGCCTAATGTCCTCGTGATATCTTTTGATTTTTGTATACCTTTTGACTCCATAGCCGACAGCTCCAGTCCACCGACGACGTCAAGAGCAGTACATCTTGGTGGTGCGGCACCAGCGGATGGTATTGCATCGAAGTCACAGGTCCAAAGTGCGAACTCGATAGACCCGGCAGCGCACTCACGAGCACTTCGCGGGCTTTGGACTCGGACGACGGATGCAATTCATCCAGTTGCGCACCCCACAGGTCCCCCGATTCTAGCCAACACCACATAACGTCCAAGTTAGATATATCTGTCTTACATATATATGTCTTGTTTATATATATATAATGTCTTGCTTTTATACATATATATGTCTTGTTTATATATATATAATGTCTTGTTTATATATATATATATATATATGTCTTATTTATTTATATATAATGTCTTGTTTATACATATATATGTCTTGTTTATATATATATATGTCTTATTTATATATATATATTCTTGTTTTTATATATATATATATATGGCGCATTCCCCCAACCATGTTCACTCGTAGCCATTGCATACACTCATTATACCCCGAATTGTGTTTAAGAATATGATTCACAATCCTTGTTCTTGATAATATATATCTTGTATGCATCCACCAGAGAAAACGGTAACAATAATAGAAAAAAAGAGAAATAAAAGGAAAAGAACCACCTACTACGAATAAATGAATATTATTTTCAGGTAAATCTCATCTAAATATATATGCAACGTCCAAACATCCGACTCAGTCTCTGTCACAAGGATAACCATAGGATTCAAATCCTTTCCTAACGTATATATATATATATACCCTTGGGATCCCACAACAATACAACAAAACCACATTCAAATCCCTCAATTTCGACCTATATATATATGTTTATATATATTTGGATGAACCATACCAGTGCCAATAGCAAACGCGTTGGTAGGGTTTTGCGAAGGCCGTTGAAAGGCCATGGCAGTGACGGGCACGGCCATGCGACGACCAGCCGCCGAAGTTGCCGCCGAAGTTGCTGCGATCCCATTGGACGACGGCCCCGCGACGCGCAAGTCGAGCACGTCCATGGGGGTGTGCAGTTGATTCATGTTCCACACACACATGCGGCCGTCGGTACTGGCAGAGACCAAACTATGTCCCACCACCCACATGAGGAATACTATATTTATATCTATATATATATATATATATATATAACGAGTTATAACCTTCTACCATGACATATAAACATGTAGCATCAAATTAAACCCGTTCTATTCAAGACAACAAAAATATGGTTGTTTGAATCTCAAAACCTCAGATACACACACATACACACTCGTGAACAATATATATATATATATATTTATCGACTGATTACCACAATGCGACAATACTCGAATATCCACATACTCTACGTTACATACTAGAAATCCAGTCCTACGTCGGTATATATATATATATATATATAGAGCCCTAGAAAGGGCTGGACCTCGATTGTTGAAATCATCGTGTCGTCAAAATGGGCGATTATTAAATTCAACATGTTTATATTACCTGGAGGAACTTTTCGTCCCTACGACACTCATCGAGTAAATCGGATGCGTGTGGCCGCCAGTGGCCGACAGCGTCGTCTTTTGCACGGGCGTGTGTTTGGCTCGCGTGTCCCACAACACCACCTAGAACCATAATATTCTTTATATTATGCATGAAATCAGAATATTTGTCTTGCTGGACGTCATAAAATATATATCTTTTCTCAACAGAGCCACGATGCACATATTCGACATATTCGACATATTCGATACGCCACAACAAAATCGAAACGACAGCAAGACACAAGTAATTATATGTACGTACTCGTTACAGAATCAATGTATATTGTTCAATACGTTCAATTTGTGCTTTCGGGTACAATCGATTGAATGTGGCAAAGGTATTTTAGATATATTGTCCTAGCCAATCAAAATGCACGAATGTGAATTTTGAACCAATCGTGGGTCAGCATAATTTGGCCCAATCAAAATATTTTTCTTTAAATGTCTACACGAGACATTGAATTAGCTTAAAATCTGACACAACTCGATTCTGCCAAGTCCAAATTTCAGCAAAGAGGATAATATAATTATATATATCAAAACGTAAACAACACGTCTACATTGCACACATGTAGTAGCTGTTTAGTTGGCAACGACTCGTTCATACCTGTCCCGAGTACGTTCCCCCCACCAGCAAGTTGCGATCGAAAGGACTAAAGCACGCGCTCATCACCTACCACGACACACATCATCATCATATCTGGATAAACAGGATAGATGATATAATCGATACAATATATATATATATATATATTATATATATACTTGATGAATCGTAATGTCAATGGTAATATTACTTGAGAGTGACATGTAAACTTGTATTCTGGATGCGACGGCAGATTGCTTGACCAGAGCAGCACCACGCCCTCTGCGTCGCCCCCGTCTTCATGCATCACGTCCCAACTCGCTTGGTCGTCGTCGTCTTCAAGGTACCCCCTCGCGTTGTACGCAACCAGAGACAATTCCTATCCAATACAAGTATTTATATATATATATATATAGTTTTCAATAATACACCCATTTTAATTGTGTTTAGGGACGGATTCATGTCCACAATTCGTTGTCATACACGGAATCTCCAACCATGATCATTCAACATGGTCTACATGTTCCTACTACTGTCCACGCAACATATAGAGTACATATATATGTATAGAGTACATATATATATATAGAGTATATATATATATATAGAGTACATATATATATATATATATATTGTTGTGATTATTCAAAACTGGAGCCACGTGCCGAATGTATCGACACAACCAAACGTGCAGAAGAGAACCGGCGATGAATTTAACCAATCAGATGGCAGGAAAGCATCAGTAGTTCAACCAATATCAACCACTAATGAGGGTATGACTGAAAATAGTGTGATGGGCATCACCGGTGGGTTCCCTTTTCACGTCCAAACTATCGATCGATGGATTTAGCAAATCAGCACAAAAGCTAAAAAAACTAATTGGCTAAATGGACAATATTTCACAATATTAGTATACTCACAGTACGCATTTCAAGCATATTTACATCCACCCATGTACGAATCAAGCAAGGAGCACATCCAGACTTGTGTTTATCACCCCAGTTTTGCCAATTTGGTTGTCGAAATCATAACAAATCAACCAAGCAGTATGATTGGATAAAAATCAATACGTGTGTTGCAGTATGCTTGGCTACAAAGTACTCATGTTGTGACTCAACTTGAGTAGACAGGCGACCATTCAATATCGATATTCGAATCCAAGTCACGAGATCTTCTGTGTATATAATATTGTGCTTTCGAGTGAAATTTCATTGTGTTGTGGCGTGGTTTCTCGTTGGAATTCAAATCGATTTGATTGGCTACCTCAGATGAGCTCAAAATTATTAGCCAATCAAAACCCATTTCTCAATGAAATTCAACCAATCAGGTCGATTGTGGATCGGTTTGGTCGGCGCGATTCGATTGCACCCCCTCCCCAAATTTGTATATCAAATCGACAATATATATAGTCAACTCCCTGCTCCCTTTGGACATCCGAGTAGAATCGAATGAATAGTTGACAAATGAATTTTTATAATGTCCTAGCCAATCAAACCGACACGAACGCGACATTTCAACCAATCGTCGATCACCATCGTTTCGCCCATTCAATGTGGCTCACCAAACAACATGTTCCCTTTCCACGTTTATTATACCATACATTGCATCAGCTTATACGTGGACTCAATCGAATTCTCGAATCCTGAATTGCACAATATATATATATTTATATATATTATGGATTCGGTACAAATTTCCAGATCCCGTCGAATCGAATGATCTCGCCGCCGAATCGAATCACGAATCATCGACGCTTTTGGCTAATATCCGATTTTGAGTGGATCTGATTGGCTCTTACAGAAAGGACAAGTGTATTCAACCAATCAGAACAACTCCAGCGTGATTCAGTAGTGATTACACAAAAACCACGCGAATTTTGGATGTTTAAAATATATATCATGACACAAACCCAACTAGAAGCTATATGCATATCCACTGGACAACGCAAAAACACTTTAGAAAACATCAAACCAGCATTTCATAAGCGATCGTACGTGGTAAAACGGAGACACGTCGATATCTGTGACAGCGCGGCCCTTGGTCCACTTGGCGTCGCGATACACGTGCGCCAGCTTGAGCGCTTGGGACGACGCGGCGGCCCCGCCGTCGTCGTCGGCGTCGGCACCATCGACACTGTAGTCCTTCATCACATCAAACGAACTGGCTTGGATCAAAGCGCGCTCCATCACGCGACCCGACTTGCCCAAGAACGCATCCAGGTCTATTGAATATATAAATATATATATTCTTTTGACTGGAGCGACATTATTGATAATGCAACCAAAATACATGTGTACAGACGAACACGAATCATCGGCAGAAGGATGATTGAGCCAATCCGAATGCAGGAACCAATATCCACAACATCAACTTCGAATGTGACTGCAATTAGTGTGATACCAATCACCACCGGACAAGGTTGTACATACAAATTCAGTACAACGAAAATGGATCGATAGATTTGGCAAACATCAACACACATGCCCAAATTTGGGGCCAAAGGAACAATTACATATTCAATAGCTTTAAATATATAAATAATATTTCACTAGAGAGGGGATGCTCCACGAGCTGCTCCAAATCGGTAGAGAATCCATAGGCGACCAATCAAAACACACAAATCAAGCAGCCAATCGAAAACGTTTGCTCGCGTCAACTAGAGGCGTATGTGGTTGAAATATTCGGGTGACAGGCGACACGCTTTCCATACTAAATGCTGCAGTACAAAAAAAATCGATCGATATATTTGGCAGATCAACCCCAAGCGAGCAACCTATATATATATATATATATATATATAGGGCTTGTCACCGAATAATTTGCCCCATTGGGGGGAATATTGTCGAAATCGCATAAACTTTAACAAATCGAGGAAAACTGACTGATTGGCTAAAAAGGAAAACAGATTGTCATTTGATTGGCAAAAAGAATGGAGGAATGTAGTCAGGCACAAAACTACCTCTTCAACTTGATTTTATATGATATGTCGCAGGTCCAAGGATGACATAAAGGGGAAATTTTAAAATAAAAACAACACAAAATAAGAAAAGTAATGCAACGAACGAAAGGAGAGTTCTATAGGTGTATATGTGGTTGTGTTGTAGGATTTAAATATTATTGCGTTTATATTCTAAATTGGAGCGACATAGAGAATGAATCGACACAACCAAATAAAAATATAGAAGAATCGACTAAAGAATTGAGCCAATCAGATTGCAGGAAACCAACCTCAACGTTTAAATAGTGTGTGAATTCATTTAGTGTGATTGCAATCACCACAACGACAGCACTTTACATACAAAATTCAGTACAAAGAATCGATCGACAGAATTGGCAAAAAATCAGCACAAAAGTAGTCCAAATTTTGGGTAAAAGAAAGACAATATGCAAAGGGAACCGAATGTATCGACACCATCGGCAGACGTATTTAGCCAATCAGATTGCAGGAAACAAAAACAACGAATTAGTGTGTGAATTCAATTAGTGTGATGTGCATCACTATTATATTACATGCAAACGTTAGGACCAAACTCGAGCGAGGGATTTGGCAAATCAGCCCAAAAGGCCAAATTTTGGCTCGAATTTCAAGATTTAACAACACACAACCACTGACACTGATGAAACCCAGTCGATACATGGATATGCATGCTTACCCGCGGAAAGGAGGAGTTGTTCCCGCTCTTCCTTGGTGAGACGCACGGGAGGTGGCGCCGACAGGTCGGACGTGAATTTGCGCGGGGACGTGCCGGCGGATGTCGCTTGGACGGGCGAATTCGCGGGCTCTGGCTCGTGGGAGATGGAGTCGTCTTGGACTGATAGATGACGCGGCTACACACGACATCGTGGTTAAGAAGGGTGAATGAATGCATAACGAACGCGATTCCGAGAAAGCATGGTATACCGATAAGGGGGGGAAGTCGTCGGGGTCCATGGACGTTGCTTTGTCGTACGTTTCGACTTGGATGGGCAAGATGTCCAACGGCCCTACTTGCACTACCTACGTAGATACACATGCCGTGATCGACAGCGAGGGGGAGTAGTAGGTACCGTGGACAGTTTAGCCATCTTCTCCGCAAACGACAGGCCGGGAATGACTGTAGTGGCGCTACTTTCGTTGGTCATCGTGACGTCCAAGTCCTTTTGCTTTTGTTCGTCCAAGATGGTTTGGAGAAAATCCTGGAACGGTGCCGCAGCGACCGACGTCGCGGAAATCGTCGCAGCGTCGACGCCTGCTTCCCTACATGAATATGGCGTGAGTCATGAGGAACCGGCACTTAACCATGATTATCTTACTTGACGTTAGCCTTCCGGCGTCGGATCTCCTCTAGCTTGCGCTTCTTCGCCTCCAATTCTGCCGCGTGCTTTGCGCGTGTCACTTCTCGAGCGTCCATCGTTTGATTCGATTTGGAGGATTTCGCAAAACTTGGTATCCGGAAAAGACTTCAATACGGATAAACTGACAACATAACGAATGACAAGACCACGAAAGACCCGCTGACATCCATGATTCGATGCATGGACCATGAGCATTTCGCCGCCACCTTCACGCCATGCGCGTTGTCCTTGCGTTCGAGTCGACAGGTTCATCAGGAGTATTGACACTTACTTCAGGTAGACTGCTTTCTCTGACGTCGATGGCATGACCCCTCTGGCACGTGACGGCTCTGGAAGTATGAAATAGTGGCATGTATGTATGTATGACTTGAGCTAGGAAGTGCATGAAATGTACACACAAAAGAGGACATGGGTAAAGGATTGTAGATGCAATCTCGTAGTACTGGTAGTAGTTGCAAGCTTGGCACTACCAAGTTGAAATGCATCCAACATACAACGAACCAGAGACCAGACCGACGTGGCATCTTGGATGGAGTCCCGTCGTCTTTGATGTCGTTCAACGGGCTCAAGCCTCTAGAAGCCACACCACCAGAATGCGCTTTACTAAACCGTTTTTACAGTCTTAATCAACCATTTTAATCTAAAACGTACGGGTTGCTACAGTACATACGTGATAAACGATGGATATTCAATATGACAATAATTGTTTTCATGTTCATACCTTGTACATTTTGTGGCCGATTTTGATACATTTGGGCGGTTCCAGGGGTTTGAGCCGTGATAAAACTGGGCAGGTGCAGCAGCACTGAATTCGACCGTCCCCACGCCGTCGACACAAGCCATCTAAATGCCCTCGAATTTAACATCACTTGCAACTTTCAACTACACTATTTCGTTGCAGGGTATCACGCAATCGATGACAACGTGATTCGACGACAAATAATCAAACAAGAACGTACTGGTTGTGTACTACGCAGCGATAGATCGATGACGTGGCGATTACACCGATAAAGCAGTACCCCATAGCCGTCAAGATGGTCCTTGTCAAATGGACACGATAGGCGCTGTCCCCGCGCTCGGGCACAACATATTGTTGACCCAAAGGCCTACGCGGGTAATAAGCGCCTATGAACACTACAACAACTACTACGTAGAATCAACTCAATTGTTTGCGTTTGGATATGTCTCGAGCAAAGACTATGAAAGGCATCGACACCTATAATGTAGTGTTTGTTGCTCAGCGCAAGGTCGGCAACGTACTATAACCAACTCCTGGGAACTCTAGTAAGAAAACATTGTAACTTATTTGAGCCACTTTCAGGCGTAAACGCCAGCCAACACGATGCACGGTGAAGTAAAGAGATGTGCCGTTGTTGCTTAAATATTTTGCTTATTATAAATATGTTAGTTTTCTAAATAATTGACGCTATAGTTATGATATGGCTCTGCATTTGTGGTCCCGTGGCTTGTGGAAGCCACACGCGTTGCACGTTTCGTGGATCAAGTGGTCCCCGTGCAGTTTCAAGTACGCCACGACGTCGGTGTGACCATTCAAACGAGCTCCTTCCAAGGCCTTGGCCGAACATCCGTCGGCGGGGCGACACTGGTGGAGAAACTGCACAACGTTCAAATGCCCGTTCATCGCGGCCGCGTCCATGGCGGGCATCGTCGCACCGCGTCGAGGCTTTACTTGAGTCAAATACGTCAGCACTTCCACGTGGCCACCTGCTGCCGCCAGCGTAAACGCGTCGGCGCTCCAGTCTTGCGTTCCGTGTTCATACAACCATCGGACGATCGGTAGGTGCCCGTTGGCACTCGCCATGGTGAAGGCAGCCCTGGCATTGCTGCTGCTGCTTCCATTCTTGGCCAGGAACTGCACAATCGCCATATTTCCGCGAGCAGCCGCGGCGACGACTGCGTGGGCAACCTGGTGCGCGTTGGTCCGGTGCGAGTCTGCCAAATATTCCACCACGTTCAAGTGTCCATTGGTCGCTGCGGCCACCAGTGCGTCGTTCGTGCCACTCTCGTACGCCATTTCGTGCAGCCGGACAATGGCTTGCAGGTGGCCACGTTCTGCAGCCACTTGCACTAGGTTGTCGAAATCATCCAGGTCCAATCCAAGGGTGTCCAGTAGATGCATACAGTCGGTCGCGACGGCGTGGAGCACAACCGTATCACTCATGTGAGGCAGGCACGACAAAAACAGGGGCAAGCGGGCATGGCCATACGTGGCAAACCATTCTTCAAAGAGGCGTCGGGTGGTGGTGGCAGCTGCAGTTGTAGCGAAAGGAGCCATATCTTGCAAGTACCCACGTTGGTATGCTCCTATGCATCGCAAGAGGTCGCTTGACAGCAATGCTATTCGTGTCACCATTGTATCTGCTGTGTGGGATATGATGAAAGATTATGAATGAAAAGTTGCGAACTCGTTTAGACTCAACTTGTATGATGTCAATTACTAGTATTGGATACTACCACCATCATTCAGATGCATGGAGCTACGCGTTGTATACCAGAATGCAGGTACTAGTACTATTTATAATTCTGGAAAAGCAAAAACATTGCACTCCATTGGTTTTGCATATTGTCGAAAGTGGCGTCACTTTGAAAATTTCGAAAACGTGGCCACCATTGAGGACATACGTCATTCCATGTCATCGCTGCGATTATGAATGGAGTTCGTTCATTATATTTGGTAGTTTAAAGCGTGGAAACACCAAGGGGTACTACTTTAGTTAGAGCCCTGAGTGTACCGAATGAATGACGGGGACCTGTGAAGGTAGTAATTATTGGAAGGACTTATCCGTATGTGTGCCATAAATTTGGACCATGAACACCCTCGATGTTGCTGACAGCAATCGATAACTAACGAGTAGTCGCGTTCTAGTACTTCTCGTACTAGTAGTACCAGTTTACAGTAAGCTGAGTCACGAAGCAATACAGTGTACATGGGCTGACAGTACTGTACGGTAGTTCGAAGTACTGTATTATCATGGGCCCTTGTACAATGGAAAAGGCATCATGTATGTATATGTAATCACCCAAGAATTTCGGCATGAGGCAATTCATACCTCGACGGGGATACCGCCGCTGCTTTAACCGCTAGCTCACGTCGCAACCTTCATGGTTCTAAGTCATCGCAAGAGAATTGATTCATTTACGGTACTGGTGGACTGCACAGTGTACTCAAAACGTTGGAAACCATCGAATGGGTTTTGATTGGGTATGCCAATGAAATGCGATCCACCACTCCAAGGCTTGTCCCATGCCCTTCATTTGGTTGCCTTTTGTCCTACACTGCCACGTCGATAGTCGAAGGCGAAGGATCTGGAATTTTCATCGAGTTTGCATTTATTACACCAACGGTCAATGCCTTTCAAACATGAACAGCGAAATGTCTTGGATGCACACGAGGTCAACGTGTGTTGGTGGTGTGCAGCAGTGATTCTTTGCTATGAGTCGACTGGTACCTCCTGTACAGTACTGCACTCGCCAACTGTTTTACTAGTACTACTAGTACTGCACAGTGTATGTACAGTGTACTGGACTCGCATAACACGCTTATCATTCAGCGCGTCGCTGCACCACTAGAAAAAAATGTGTTCGATCGTACACATCCTATTGTAATTCTTCGTTTTAATTGTACCGTATTGTGTCGAAGCTACTTGAAACTGCATGCCCAATAATGTGTTGGATGCTGTACGAACTTGCACTACTACCGGTACTAGAGTAGTTGTGAACTACTAGTATTAATAGTACTTCATTAATAACGTTAAGCTTACGTAATAGAAGTACTGTATTGATTGACCTTGTATCCAAAATCTATACTTTTGTGCTGATTCGCCAAATCTATCGATCGATTCTTTGTATTGACTCGCTTGCATGTGAAAATCGTCCAGTGTCACACTAATTGAAGTCACACACTAGTTCGATGTTGCATTGATCGAAGTCACACACTAATTCGATGTTGCATTGGTCGAAGAGGAGTGGATTTGATTGGCTACTTGATTATTGATCTGGTTTTTATTGGTCAATCGATTGTCTGCCGATTTGGTGCTGTTCATTCCATTGAGCAACCCACTCCAATTTAGAATCGACTTGACAATACAACGTTCCAGTAACCACATGGTATTGATATTGATATTATGCTGTAAAGTTAAAATCACTCAGCGGGCACTTAAATATGCCTCAGCCGCGTACTAGCTGCGTTAGCAGCTAGCGGACTTAACTACTTGAAAAAACCCGATTGTGTCGGCTCCAGGGGAACGGGATGCTTAAACCGCTGGAGGTGATATCTCGGGGTCTGGGGGGTGTCGCGGTGGCCGGAGGGTCGGGTCGGCGTAGCCTATGGGAGGGGGGATGGCAGGTGGTAATAAAGAGAGTCTGCGGGAGTGCCATCGGAGCGTCTTGGCTGTGAGGTGGACTCTGCGGGCGCGGATGCGTCGGTCATGGCCCATGGAGGCGGCATCGTGGTGACGGCGTTTGAGCCGGATGTTGTTGTTAACCTCAGTGAGGAGGGGTAGTTCCCCTGCGGTGCGGATGTTTTCCACGTCAGTAGTACATGTTGATTGCCAGTGTTGGCGGAGGATAGCCCAGTGTGCGGAAAACCATGCTTTGTGGAAGTGCGGTGCGTGTAGGTGCGTGATGGTAGATGCCCAGTCGCGTGTGGATGTCGTCATGGTGGGGAATTGTTTCAGTTCAGTGGAGGCAGTGAGTGGAAGTGGAAGCTGTGAGGACCTTGGGCTTGGTGGTGCTGGCGTCCGCAGGTGTGGTGCTAAATAGGGTGGGTGGGGGGTGATGGAGCCAGTGGGTAGCATCTAGGGGTCTGAGTGCCTCAGTCCAGTGGTGTTGGGCGGGGGTGAGGAGGCACCGGGTAGTGCCGGAGGTGAGGAAACCGATGTGGATGGGAACGGGGTTGCTAGTGGTGAGCTTGTACCACTGGGGGGTGGAGACGTGGTGGATGGAGGAGGGGTTGCGTAGGGTAATCTGGCCCGTGGGTATGGTGAGGAGCCATGTGATCGGGAGGCTGTCTGCCTGGGTATGTCCCAGGGAGCCTTCTGGAACAACGAACCAGTATACGGTCTGCATGTAGCTGGTGGTGGCTGTCCGTATTTCAGTGGATAGTTGACGCCACCAGGTGGTGGAGAAGGGGTGGCGAGTCGCATCGATCCACCAGTGGTGGTATGTTGGGGGCGGGGGATGGTACAATGAGGGGAGGCGCCGAGCGGGCATTGGAATGTAGCGCCATTGGGGCCACCCATCCACTGACTGAACCAGAAGTCACGGGGTGCCAGGAGGGGTACGCAGCGAAGGGCTGTGTGGTAGAGACATCGGGGTAGGAGGCCGCCCGGCGTACGGCATTGTATAGACTCCCAGTGTAGTTGGGTGGCAGCTAGTGCGAGCGTCGTCGGTCGAGGGGGTCCGAGGAGACGGTGCATGTGGAAGGCGAGTACACAGCGTTTTGGGGAGATAGGAAACATGCAGTGTCCCGAGTTGGGGGAGGGTTTTCGACTGCGTGTCTGCCATTGGGGACGTGTCAAGCCAGTGAAGGTACTCGCGCTAGCAGTGCAGTGGCCAGGGAGGTACTTTTTTTATATTTTGGTTTTGTGATCCTCAATTGGCCAATTCGAACCGCCTCTCTGTCCAATCACAAGTCCCCATCACGCCGTTACTCAGCGTCGTTCCCTGTAGGTAGATATCTTGGTCTGGGAGCCATGCTTTGGGTATGACGGCTTGTGGGCGAGGAGGAGATCTTGCGTGAGTGAAGTCGCCGTGGGGCATTGCGGGTGCGTGAGTCCAAAGCGGTGTTCCTGCGTGTCGAGGGAGGCCGGGCATGTACGGCAGTGGGGGTCCCACCGTGGTTGAATGCGGTGTTTGCGTACGTTAGTGTGGAGAGTGTAGCAGATAGCCCGCCAGTAGAAGGAGAGGGCAGGAAGGTTCCATTTGCATAATTCTCCGGTGTTGAGGCGGAGGGGCTGGATGGTGCGGCGGGCGTCCGGTTTACTGGCATGTGCTGCGTGCCAGTCATGCCGACTGTAGATGGCGCCAAGCCAGGGGGCAGTTGCACCTGTGACAGGTAGGTCATGGTGGTCTCGGAGTTCCCAGGAGGCAGGAATGGTGAGGTGGACAGCAGGCCTTGTTTAGCACGTAGGACTGGGTCCATAGTACTTGTGCTATCTTGGTGGGCGCGGATCCAGTCGCCAGCAAACGCGCCCACTGGGTTGAATAGGGCCATGAGCGAGCGAAGTTCCACTCGGTGGATGTTGCTGTAGCGAAGTTGACCCCCGCGTCGTTTGAGGGACCTGGCCAGGACAACAAGACCTATGGCCGTGGTGTTGTTGCAGATTTGGAACGCTGTATCCCCAGAGTGGTGCAAACCTGCCAGGAGGGTGTGGACTTCGCAGTGTGTGGGGGTGATGTGGTCTGGGTGGATCCGAATATACCCAGTAAGGGTAGTGCCGTCTCTGCCCAGGTAGCTCCATGTGCCGTGGGCTGACGGTTTTCCTTGGTTAGTGACGCTGCCATCACCGACGGAGTGTGTACGTGCGGCACGAAGGGGGAGGGTGTGGAGGCCGTACGTAGGGGTCGAGTGGCGTAGGACCACCTGGCAATGTGGTATGCAGGCAGGATGGTGCCATTGCCCGCAGTCCATACAGACAGTAGTGTCCGCGATGCGGTGGCAGGCAGGTGTGGCGTAGGGGGGGAGTGTGGTGTGCGGGTAGGAGTTGGGCCTGGTCTGTTCTGTGCGTAGCGGTGGAGGCAATAGAGCGCGGTTGTTTTGCCGCGGTGTGTGTGGTGCGTGCCCGATGTGTCCACGTCATGTCTGTCCAAGGGATGAACTTGTGGCGTTGGGTGCTGCTGGTGCGGAGGAGGTCGGCAGTGAGGATCGCGCATCCTGCAATGGGGACTAGGCGGAGTCGGCTACGGGCTTTCCGTGTTGTGGGTGAGTACCAAATGTCCGTTCCCTTTCGGAGCTCATGCCAAAAGGTGACTGCGATTTCTGGGCCGGCGGAACGTTCCAGTAACCACAGCATTACTGCAAGCTTGACTGGCTTGAGTTTAGTTATGCACTGTGACGACGGGTAAACACAGCAGACACGCATTGCCAGAACGCTGCGTCACTTTATGGGTGGAGCTAAGCTTAATGGCCTTGCCTTAGTAATACTAGTTAGCATACTATGTACTACGTTATACAGTATGTATCGGACTGTAACCGTTCGGAGTTACAAAACCCTATCGAGTTTGAAGAAGAACCAGCATCCATATTCCTTCCTATCTGCTGTTTTATATCAGTGATCATAAATATATCTATTGTATACGACGCTGTGTTATATTCCCTCCAATTCGCCGCACTCGCAAGACGTGACCATTATGCAGCATTCGGGCAAGTGGAATGATGTGGTTCCCCACGCCAGCAAAACCCCCCAGCAGGTGGTACCGATGCCTGCTTGGTTTGACACGAGTCGAGATGACAATCCCTTACAACAGTAACGAGCAGTTTCTAACAAACCAGCTCCTCCGTTGTCATTGCCCTTCCGTTTGTCGCCAATACGATTTCCATCCAAAGCACCTCGTCCGACCTCCCCGACTCGCCTACTGGCATGTCCATGACGAAAGATCAAGTGATTAAGTCGTCAGTTGGGTTCATGTACCTTGCGTTGACGTTGGCGTCAACCAGGCATTACCTCACGATGCTGTCTCCAGTGATGGCCAATGATTTGTGGTGGGCGGGTTTCAATGCGTCTAGGGTGCAGTCGTACCTCATTGACGAGTATAATGTCCCCCCTCTTGTGATCAAAGCCCAAACCCTTTGATTACGCGGTCGCATTGTCGGGCGGAATTTGCTGTACTTTAATCGGTTTGTGGGGACCCGCTGCACGACCTTTCCAGTCCAGCGACTGTTGATTGAACATGTACCATCAACTTTGTATGGAACTCCCTCAATTGCACCAGCCGCTACGTGTCGGCAGGGTGTGGCCCTGGCCGTGATAGGCTCTACGGTGGTGGGCTCTACGGTGATGGGCGAAATCGTGATGGTCAAAAACGTAATGGGCGCGCGAGTGGTGCGTCCCCTGGTCGTGGTATCCTTCGGTCGATTTCTGACACTGTGTATCATGCAACTCACGTGCATTGCCACCATATTTCTCGGCGTCAAAGGTTTGGACACGATGGTTCGTTCGAATTAGGGTGATGTTGTCGGCGAAATGACGGTCCCGCCGAAAGGCAACTTCACAGCACCGTATATTTGTGTTGTTGAATTTTCCTAGAATACTGTGCTTTGATTGGCCAGTTTCCTTTAGTATACAATTTGCAAGACGAGTTTAAGATGTAGCCGACCAGATAGAGAGTGAACTTAACCTCTAATTTACTTATGAATTGACCTTGTTAGTGTCAAGCATGTTTGTTCCAAGGCTGGAGCGACAACAAAGAATTCTTAGTGAATTGCTCCGCGCTCTCGTGTTTGATAGCGCTTACCCCAGTCCGTGACCTTTGTCGACAAGGCCCCGTTCAGACCTCTACTCCCATATCCCCACGCTGCATCAATGGATCACGGCGAGCCTCTGCCGTTGACGCCACGTGGACAGACCGGCATGGTGTTACACCGGATCCTGTCCCAAGAAGATGTATACGCCCAGCCGATTGACATCCCTGTGGCGCAATACCCCCCTGACATGGCTGTGCGCCACCTGGGACAGCAAGTGCGCCAGGCGGTGGATGCTCAAGGTGCTCGCATTAACTCGGTACAGCAAGCTGTGGGCGGCCAGACGCAGCAGACGTACGAGCAGCTGATGGTCCTCCATCAGCAGCAACAAGTACAGGCCCGAGAGCAGATGGAAATGAACCGGCAGATCATGGCCGAGCTGGCACACCAACGTGACCGCCAGCAGATTTTTATGGAATAGCTGACCGCACAGCGTGCGACGTCCGAACATCATGCCCAAGGACTCCGGGCCGCCGCTGTGGCCTCCGTCCAGCATTCCGACGCATTCGAAGAAATGCCGGCGTACCAGTGCCCGATGACATGCTTTCACCGCGACCCCGGTTCAACTTCCGGCGCCGGTCGCAGCAACCGGTGTCCAGCTGGTGTATGGATTCCTTGAAGTGCCCAAAGCTCCTGCGTTCAACGGAAGTACCAAGGTCCAGAAGCGCCGCTTGATGGACCAATACGAGTCGTACCGACGCGAGATTGCTTTGGCCAACGCTCAAAGACCCGGGGGTCAGCAGATCATGCAGATGCCCCTTACAGCATGTATGGACCCTTTGTCGGTCGAGCGCATTGCCTACTGGGAGATCGGCAAGGCGAGCCATGAACTTACGGAGGAAGATTGGAGAAACTGCTTCCTCGGGGCTCGTGAATGCGACCCAGTGGACATGACCAAGCTTTGCCAGAACATGGCGAAGCTCAAGATGGATGGCTCTATCCAGTCAGCCGAGTCTCAAGCTCGTGAGCGACTTTGAGGCCATCTTGGTCCGACGGTCGATGGAGGGCTTTGCCGAGTCGGAGCCGAAACTGGCGGTTGACTTCCTGATGGCAGCTATCGCACCATGCGTGCTGCAGAAGCGTGTCAAGGAGCTCATGAAGCTCAACGAGAACCGTCTGTTCAAGAAGGACGCCCGTGCATTCAAAACGTGGTTGTCTGAATACATGAAGCGATATGGCGAGTTCGAGCCGTTGATACAAGCCAGTGCGCCCCCGCTAGCCAAGTCAGCCGAGAAACCCTAGACAAGTGCTAAGTCGGACCGACCCCAGCACAAGGCCAAGGCTGTGGCCGTAGTCAACGTGGACAAGGTTCCGTTGACCAACTTCCAGCCCGTGAATAGCAAGGCTGCCTGCTCGAAGTGTGCACCTGGCGAGGCCCAGCTGTTGATGAATCGAGCCAAGATCGTATGGGCTGATGCCCGAGAAGGCCGGGCTGTTGCCGTGGTTAAGAATGTGCGAGTCGTCGAACCGAGTGAAGAGACGGCCATTATGTGCGCGGCCCGAGTGGTGTGCACGGCTTCCCAGGCCGTGGCTTTGGATGCGTCCTTCGACAGCGGTGCTGATCAAAGCGTTATCCCACCAAACACCCTCCGTATGCTGCAGGATGCGGGCCGTGACGTGACCGTGATGGACTTGTCAGCCCCTGTTGCGGTTCGTGGCTTTGTCGGCCCGAGCCATACGGTGACTCAAGAAGTCAAGTTGGACCTCAAGTTCGACACAGACGCGGGTCCCCTGATGCTGTCCAATGTGAAGTGCTGGTTGTCGCTCGGCAACTTACCTCATGGTGTGGGCGACATATTGTTGAGTCGGCCCATTATGTACAAGCTCGGGTACGATCCCCATTCCATACTCCGAGAAGCTGCTGCGGTGAGCAGCGAGTACGACATAGCCGATGTGGAATCAACAAGCGGTGTTGTCAAGGCCGTCATGCTAGCTACCAAGCAAGAACTGACCGACGACCTAGCCGATGAGGAACAGGTGTTGGTGCCAATGGAATTGGCCGCCTTTTTCCCCGACATGACCCCAGTTGACCCGATGGTGGAACAAGCCAAGGTCCAGCTGGTATTGGACACCCGTGTGTCTGACGCGTTGGCAGCCGGGTGTGGGCCGGAGTTTGCCGTTGTATTGGCCCAACTCCTTACCAAATAAGTGGATGTGTTTCGTCTTACTTTGGGCCGAGCCCCACCGGTCAGTATGCCCCCACTGAAGGTGCACCTGGCCAAGGAAGCCAAGCCGGTGCGCTGCAAGGCACGGCGTTATTCCCTGCCTCGGCGTGAGTTCATGCAGAAGCACATGGAAGAGTTGGAGTCGGCCGGATTCATTTACCGCAACCCGACCAGTCGGTGGGCCTGTGCCCCCCTTATTGTCCGCAAGCCCCATACGAAGGATGAGTTTCGTATGACAGTGGACCTCCGTCCGGTAAATGGTCAGACGGAGCAAATTGCATGGCCGATGCCCATGCTGGAAGTCGTGGTGGGCCACCTGAACGGTGCCACCTGCTTTTTCCTGTTGGACTTCTTCAAGGGCTACTGACAGTTTGCACTGGACCCGACCTGCCAAGATATGTTCTCTTTCCTCACCGACACGGACGTGTACACGTCCAATCGGGTGATGCAAGGCGGCAGCGATAGCGTGGCCTATTGCCAGTCAACTGTTCAAGTCATGTTTGCCGGCCAGCGGTACAAATGTATTTTGGCCTGGCTGGACGAGCTGCTGGGTTACCACAAGACCCCGGCTGGTCTGTTGTCTGCTTTGGCAGATGTGTTAGAGGTGTGCGCCATCAAAGGGCTGAAGCTGCACCCCAAGAAGTGCCAATTCTTCGTCAAGGAGGCAAAGTGGTGCGGCCGCATCATCAGCGGCGCTGGTATGAAGCATGACCCGATCCGAGTGGAAGCGCTTCAGTTACTGCCAGCCCCCCCGAAGACCGGAGCCGACCTGAAACAGTATGTGTGTGCGCTCAATTGGATGCGAATGTCCATACCCGCTTTCAATTGTTGGTGCGCGATCTGACTTCGGTGTTGGAACGCGTTTTCACAGCTGTTGGCAGGAAGCACACCAAGCAGTTGGCTGCGACGGTGTCGCTAGCCGACCTCGGATGGGACGAAACCCACGTGGTAGCGTTAGAAGCTACCAAGAAGGCGCTGGCCAAGGTTGTGGTCAGCCATCCCAACCCTGAGATGCGGTTGTGTGTGTTCGCTGATGCATCGGAAGACCACTGGGGAGCCGTGATCACCCAAGTGCCCCCGGACCAATTGGACCGGCCATTGGAAGCTCAGGAGCATGAGCCCCTTATGTTGCGCCACCGGCCAGTGGGCGATTGTGGAAAAGGAAGCGTATACTATAGTCGAGACCCTTATTCGGGCTGACTACCTTCTGCATCCTTCGGCTGGTTTCAACCTTTACACATACCATCGCAACCTGAAGTTTATTTTCAACCATACCATCGCAACGTGAAGTTTATTTTCAACCAGACGGCTGTGATGGCGTCTGTTCCCATGTATACGGCCCAGAAGTTGGAACTCTGGACCCTGCTGTGAAATCCATGACATACCGGGTGAAGCCAATGTTTGGGCCGACCTCTTGTCTCGATGGGGCTCACCACTCAAGTCCATCTATGCAAACAGCCAAGAACCGTTACTTGTCTCCCCATTGCGGAGCGAATTGTTCAATGGCCTACGCTGACGGCTATTGCCACAGCGCAGCAGGACAATCTAAGCCGAAACGGCCCAAACATACCCGAGTCGCTGGAACTCAACGAGTTGGGTCAACACCAGGTGGATGTTGGCAACGGCGAACCGTGGACCATGCGGTTGGTGGACAACCTGCTGTAGATCCCGGACGGCGCGGTGGAATTACAGCTGCGGTTGAGCGTGTGAGCTCATGCCAGCCTGGCTGGACACTGCGGAGCCGATCTGATCCTGGCGAGCCTGTCCCAGTTCTGTTGGTGGACCACTCAGAAGACCGATGTACAGTTCTTCGTTGGCCGTTGCCTGCACTGTGCTAGCGTTACGGGTGACTCTAATTCCGAGAAACCAAACGGTTTGATCCATTGGGATTTCGTTTTCATGGGAGAGTCGATGACCGGGGACAAGTACCTGCTGGTTGTCAAGTGTGACGCCAGCAAGATGGTGTGGCTTTTCCCTGCCAAGGAAGCAACTGCACTGTTTGTGAAGCAATGGTTTGCAGTCTTTGGCATTTGTTATGAATGGGTGTCGGACCAAGGCACCCACTTCAAGAACCAAGTCGTCGCCGAGCTCCAACATTCCCTCGGGGCTCACCACCATTTCACGACGGCCCGATGTCCATGGGCCAACGACACCGTCGAAGTCGTAATGCGCCAGCTGCTCCGACTGTTTCGGGCGTGCCTCAGTGACTGGCATATGACCACGACTCAATGGCCCGAGATCCACCTGGTGATCATGCTGATCATGAACCAGCTGCCGTCGCCATCCCTCGGTGGCGTAGCACCTGTCACGGCCATGTCCAGCCGCCCCCCAATGTCCCCTATGGACACGATCGTGTTACCCGGACGGGTGAAGACAGCGACATTGGCCGAAGTGGAATCAGCCCGACGGGTCAATATTCATGACGCCCGAGAAGCGTTGGATAGAATGCACAAGAAAATGGCAGCCACGAATGCGAAGAATCGCGAGCGTGCAAGAAAGACGCACGACTCGAAGAAAGGGGTGCAGTTGGCCCAATTCGTTGTGGGCGATTATGTGCTATACCAAGACGTCTGGCGGCACCAGCGGTCTAAGCTTCGGACCAAATGGTGTGGACCGGCTGTGGTTACAGGTGTGACCAGCAGTTGGGTGTACAACGTCCGAAACCTTGTGACCGGGGACGAACGACCAGCGCATACCAGCCGGCTCAAGTTCTACGCGGACAAAGACCTCCACCTGGCCGAAGATTTCCTCGCTCATGTAGCGCACAACTCCGAAGGTTTTGAAGTTGAGGCGATCGACTCGGCTCGCTATGTCGCGACAAAGAAGACGTATGAAGTGCTATCAAATCGCGCGGTGTCCAAGCTCTGGAGAATTCGTGGGAACCAGCCACGAACATCCAAGAAGACGTACCTGCGTTGTTTGCGGCCTTTTGCAGGACAGCGAGGGCGCCTATCATAGTCAAGTAGATGGCTAAAGATCATGGCGAAAACTAGCCATGGGGAAAGTGTTGTCGGCGAAATGACGGTCCCGCCGAAAGGCAACTTCACAGCACCGTATATTTGTGTTGTTGAAATTTCCTCGAATACTGTGCTTTGATTGACCAGTATCCTTTAGTATACAATTTGGAAGATGGAAGATGAGTTAAGATGTAGCCGACCAGATAGAGAGTGAACTTAACCTCTAAATTACTTCTGAATTGACCTCGTTAGTGTCAAGCGTGTTTGTTCCAAGGCTGGAGCGACAACAGGTGACGACATCATCCATCGGACATTTGCTGCTTCCTGGCACCACCACGGCCAATCTCCACAAGGAATTCACGTTAGAACCACTTCTCGTCCAAGAAGACTCGGTCCATCATGGCGTCGAAAATGACATAGCCGGAGACGACATCGGTTAAGGCGAGCGCGTATTGCTTTCTTGCTTGCATGTTTTCGGAGGTCAGCAACGGTTTCAACGACGAGTGTTTGTGGACAATGATGCCAGAGGCGAAGCAGTCGTACAGAGTAGGTTTTGGAATATCCAAGGCTTCTGCCATGGTGCGGAAATCCATCTTTTGTGTTGGATGCAGCTTTGAAACTCGTTCTTGAAAGGTCAAAATGTCCTCTGGCTTTCTTTGTCGCGACAGCGTAGGTTTGAACGACATGTCGGCTTGTCCACGGGTCCAGACACGCTGTATGGTGCGCTCGGTCACATTATAAGCCTCAGCTTGTTGCTTAACATCTCCATAGCGTGGCTTTCCGGTGGTGTTGTTATGCAGCAGAACAGCATATATAGCGATCTTTTCGTTTTCATGGAGGCGGCGAAACTTCATGCGAGACCGACGTATGTATTTTTCAAATGAAAAGTGCAAGGACATTCAAATTCGTGTGTCTTGTGAGCCATGATGCCAATCTTGGTCATTCGACCGCCATTCGATTCGCCTTGCTTTCAATTATTTGTTTTGGCTAATCACAACTCTTTACAAAATTCTACTGATTTTTGATCCCACTGTGAAAAAATCACGACAATTAAAACCGGACAGAGGTAGTACTTATATCAAGTAAAACGTAATCCAATCTTTTTAACCTACTTGGAATGCAGAAATATCCCAAAACACGACCAAAACTTGACTTACCATCGTACTTTGAAAAAGTGATTTCAAAGTACGACGGAAACGATTCTGATTGGCTCCGTTCGTTTTTAAAAGTTCCTAAGAGGGCTCATTAATTGACGGCTCACACGACGGGTGATATGGATATGGTCGAAGCTGATTCGTTATAATTTAAATTTTCTCAGAAATTTATCTGAGATGTACAACACAAATTTATCTCTTTCATACATATATGTAGTAGTCATTTTCGGATAGTGGGAAGCGCATAGGGTCTCATAGGGCCCGGTTTCATTACTGTCTTTTTCTTTTCTTCTTCCACATTGACCAAGCCTTAGAGTAGCGACCGACGACAGAGCATCCGCCCACAAAATTGCGCGCACTACCGAAGATTTATGTAAGTAGCGATTGCTACTATCCAGTACGATTTCAACATGGAAATACAACAATCTTATTGGCGGAATTAAATGCTTCGCTCAAAGCTGTATATCAAAGTATTATTACCGATGTCTGACGTCCTACAAGATTATGTAGCTCTTGGGATTCCATGACGGACGCAATGCTCGTGGTGTGACCAGCGCTTTGAGCTGCTAGCCTTTGATATTATCAAAAAAACGTATGAAGCTCGAGCGGGTGGACGTTGCGAGCTGTTCCCAGACCCTTAGGTACTCGTTGAAGACATGAACTATGTCCGAGATATCATATGCGTTAACCACAACGTACATACTTGGATTTAAAGCCAACCAACGCGACTGGTTGCTGGGGTACCTATCTATCAAGAAACTAGAGGCCGCGTACTCCTCGGTCGTCAAACCATTCCATCAGTTTTGTGACCGTCATAGCTTATCCAGGCAGCGCCCCACCAAAATCAAGTTGAAGTAAGGCGCCCTTGCCGA